AATTATAATACAGTAATGAATACACACGTGTGTGTTTTAAAGGAATCCATATCACGTGTCTTTAATAGAGCACAGATGTTAATGCTGGCAACTCTTATTGTTCAACGTGTTCTCCCATTGTTGCTTGTTGTTTCTTACACTATTTCTAATCTGGTAAAGAGCAGAGGGAAAGGACTTGTCTGTCATAGTCATTGGCCACCACAAACCTCCATGGGGCCAACCATTAATCCACTGAGTGAGCCATGCTGCATGCAGTTGTGATTATGTCAACTCGTGAGTGAGTAAGTGAATAATAGGGAGCATTACTGCTTCTCCTCCGTATTTCACTATACAGCCCTGACTTTGCCATGCCTGGCAAGGCTGGCATGCAACCAGTGCTGATCTTCAGCTCAGATTTTCAGTAAGATAGTTCCATAAACACAATGACATCATGTCATGACATCATTACTTTCCTGTAGGTTTGAATCACTTGCTTGCTTTTACAGGAAATTATGTATATTCACTGCTCCTCCAACCTAATTGACACCAGGGAAGTGCCACACACATTACTTTCAACATTTAGCTCTGAAGTGCATGAACAACATTCCCATAATCCGTTAGGTGCCCACCCAGAACAGACTTTGCCATCATACAAGTAAAGGCAGCTAAATAAACAGAAAGGTCAGTTTTAGAGTATAAAAGCTTGAAAAATTCACAGTATTACTTCTGGGGGAAGGGTGAAGCAAAAATGACGGTACCTTGTGCTATGGGGGCTTCTGGCCTGATTGAAAACACTAGACGCTATAGTAATACAATACTGGTGCCAAGAGACCAAAGTTTTAATGCCTTCATCTCCCATCTCCCCAAATCCTTCCTGATATTATCCATGATGTCATTGCACCCTGGACTATTCATTTTAGTATTGACTGGAAAGGCTTTGCAGAAGAAAGAATAATACTGGAAACTGGAATTGCATTGTATGAGATGAGATGGATAATGTGAACTAATGCACAAAACTAAACATGGCAGAAGGAAATCAAAACAGACATTCTGCATTGTCTGTGGACTACAGGACAGTACACAAAATCACAGACCTAAGATCAGCATCTCTCCTGAGGGCCTCAGTGAAACGAAAGAGTGGAAAGCATTGTATTTATGGGATAGATCAGGTTTCATCTGAGATTCCTCCCTTCATATCGATTTATATCCATCTCTGTTCTACTGCTCCACCAGCAGTAAATACAGAAAATATTCATATATTTACAAGAAGTATTAAAAACCTCATTATTTGTCGGACAGGAGGGGCAGAGGCTAGAGGGGAAAGTGTCATAGTTTACAGCCTTGTGTTTTCAAATAGAGGCTAATGTATGCATACCGGCACTCACTTTCACACACCAGTGTCAAAATACTGATTAACTGCAAAGTGATCTTTGCAGTGACACTACACAGAACAGAGCCCTTAAAATGAAGGGCTAAAATGATATACTTTGGGCCACCAGTGTTGTAAGCTGGAAATAACTTCATGACTCTCCCTTCACTCCTACCAAGATGTCTTTGCTGAGTTCCTAATTCAGGATTCAAACTCCTGCTTGACTCTAAACAAGCATCTTCATACACCAACTTCTAGACACATATGTAAACCTTGCCATCTCAAGGTTTTTGTATGACAACATCTGGGAATACATTTATAGGATTTTAATTCAAAGAGTTGAGTTATGCATATGAACTAACACCCTGCGTCTGATCACTGAGCTAGCTGCAGTGCTACAGTCCCATCCCAAAACCCACAGACATCATCTATACCATCTGTACCAGTCAACAGTTCGTGCATGTTTTAAAAGCACCAAAGTGTTTTTCCTCATTTTTCCAAGAAAAAAGAGCCCTTACAACACTTAAACAAACACATAGAAAGACACAGACATATTTCTTCGCATGATTTCAGTAAAAACATGCTTTTCTTGTAAAACTCTGGTGCTATCCTTTGATTATAAGCATCCTCTTTCCCAGGAAATCTATGACTAAGTATGTGTAAATACTCATCTCAGGGGTCTGCCCATGTGGTGGCTGTGGCCACCCCCAGAACTTCTCACCACGTATCACATACGAATTGCCTCACATGTGAATTGCCTCATAGTGTTGTGTATAATACGTTCTCCCTTCCTTCGTCTTCCCTATCCATCTGGGTGCTTGCCAAGAATGCTGGCTGGCCACCTTATTAGCAACAGAAATGGGACTCGAGTCCCAACAAGTCTCTGGTGGAAGCTGGCAGTATCTCCCTTGACTGCGGTGGAGTTCAGCCCACTTCCACCACTTCAGCAAAGGCTTCCTGGCTCCATTATTGGGTGGTTGTGGACTCTAGTTGCTTTAGTCCTGTGGACTGTTGGGAGCTTTTGATTGCATTAAACTAAGATTCCACAGACTAAGAGCGCTCCGTTGTCACTGGATAAGCCCATTATAAGATGCGGCTAAGTGTATGTGCTGTTCTCTCTCATTGGTTCCTCCATAAGGCAGGTTCATGTACATGGAAATTTGGTGGGGTTTCAGTGGCAGAAGCAGACTCCTGGCAAACCGTGCGCCAGCATTTCCCTGGAGCTGCAGCTTTCCCAGGGAGGCTGCCGCATAGTCAGAGTCTGGGGCCAAGCCCCAGGCACTATGGCCAGCCCAAGTGGCTTGTGACTCCAGCGTGCTCTGGCCCCAGCTGGTCACCCCTACGCGGGATGAGGCCAAGCCTTACCAAGAAAGCTGAGCTCATGTTTCCAAGAAGCAAAGAGAAAGGGAAAGGTTTGAGCAGAGCATTGTCATTGCCGGTGGTTTCTTCCAGGCTAGGAGTAAACTTGGGTTGTTTATTGGATCCCAAACTTTCTTTGCATGTACACAGGAAAACAGATGCTTCCCACTCCCGGGCCCCATGCTCGAGCCAGCAAAACCCGCAGGTAGGGTACACAAACAGGGCAGCAGAGCCATCGCTTCCTGCCTCTGGCTGCTTTGAGCTGGTGATACAACATTATCTACCCCGCACACTTCTTTGGCCTCCTTGCCAGGGTATCAGGCCGGCTCGCAGCACGCAGCTTGCTTTTCCTGTGCAGCAGGAACAGCTGCCGCCTCTGCTCACAAACCGGGAACGGAGGCCGGGGCTTGCAAGCGCTTTGGCTCAAACGGTGTGCACAGGGCATGGATGACAGAGCTGGGAAGTGAGCCAGGTCTCCCAGAGCCTGAGCAGGTGGGGGCCCTAACTACTAGGTTACTTTTCATCTTCCAGCATTAAAGACCTGGCACAGTCCATCCATAGGACCACCTTCAGTAAGCCTCGGGTGCAGTCCTCCATTTGATTCATTTATGCCAACAGCAAATCAAGTTTCAGGCTCTTACAATGAATTAGAGAGGTGAAGGGGAAATAGAGCACAAACTCATGTGCCTGGACACATGCTTAACTATGGGGCTTCAGGATGGCCACCTATCACAATCTCTTGCCTCTTCTTCTGAAACAGCAGGTGCTGGTCCCTGCCTGTGCCAGCACTGTGATTTATTGCAGCTGTGTGCCCTTCTGTGGTCCGAAGAGGATCCTTCAGCTTTCTGTCTGAAGAAGGTCCTCACAAGCGACACCGGTTGTTTGAGAACATGATGCACTCACTGTTCCCCTCTCCTGTGACATTTCTTTACATAAGCAGCTGAATAGCAGAAGATATCAGTGTTCATTACTAATTTTGTTATTTATAGCGAGCTGCCACAGATGGAGACTGCGGCACCATTCTATCTTTAGGGCATAGCGCCTGCCTGTCCATACAGACAATTGGTAATTAGCACAAGAACAATTTGTTTATCTATTCTCAAACTTAAATAAATAGGAGAGCCATTTATCTGTCAAAATTCAACTCCCTCCCATTGCCAGATCTCCAGGTTAACTGCTTAAGGAATAGAGCTCATCGCTTCAGGCACTTACGTAAAGACAAAAGTGTCTTTTAAAAGAATTCCTATTAAAGAAAATGAAATATGCAACAAAAAATAACAGGTTATGTACTGAAGGGATAGCATTTAGATCACAAGAATCAGGAGCACAGGACAAGATGAAGATCACAGGGATGTCAAGCAGAGGCGTAGAAATGGACCAACCAGTACGTAGGGGAGGTGTGGTGTATATATCCTGGTTACTCCTGGCATGTGCACTTCCTACCAGTCCAGCCACCCGGCTCTCAGCCGATCGCTCCAAGTGAATCCTTGCATGAGCATGAAACTGGGGAATAGAAGGCAGAGAGGATACTCGCAGTTCTCCAAGTAAAATCCCAGATGTGCGTTAAGATGCACTTGCATGGCTCAGATGGCAGGACCCTGCCCAACGTAAACACCACACAAGCCAGGGAGAAGACATGACGTAATTTTTTCTATTTTTATTGCTGATCCCAACCCTTCTTTGTTCTCTTTTATTCCCTATACCCACCCCTGAATTTAGAGAAGAGAGGAAGAGGCTTTATGAATAGATGGACTTTGTGAGTTGTACCCAAGGGTTGGCCCCTGTTCCCTCTCTCCTTGCCTCCACCACTGCTGACAGGAGGGGAATGGGAGCTGCTGAGGGACTGCTCATGCTCACTTTAAAGGCCAAAGCTGCCTGTGTGGAAAAAACAAACCACCCTTGTCTTTCTCACAATTCAGATGTTTTCAGCATCTGAAACTGTTCACTTACTCAAGCTTGCAGGTGCAGCTTTTTTTACACGCATATGAGTGTACGCACATCCATACGTACAGGGTGGGAAAAACAACAAGAAAAAATAAGAAGGTTACTGCTATCAGGCAGCAAAAGTGGGTCAGATCTGAGGAGTTCTGCCTGGCCTCCATTTACTATCATATAGGTCCCAGTGAAAAGCTATTTGCTTATTGTCCTACCACCTGGACAATATTTATTTGACCTTTTTATCATCCCATCAGCATCCAGGAAGGGGATAAAAGCTACTAAATAAAAGTAAACTATTTCAAATGCAATGGCTAGAAAGAAATACTAATGAGGAGCTCCTTCTTTTGTCTTTCAGCTCACAACTCCGAATTTCCCTGTAGTGGTCAAGCTGGGACATGCGCATGCTGGAATGGGGAAGGTAAGTAAAAGAAAAAATATGTGTAGCTCAGGAAACAGATATGTATGCGGCACAGCATTCCTGTGATCGTACACAGCGTGTGGCCAGCCAGCGAAGGGGTTAAACCTCCCCACAGCCTATCTGGGTTGCACTGGCTGTTCCTGTGTGAGAAAAGGCCTTTTTCCACTGTCACGCACTCGGAGACAGGCAGTGGTATTGGGTTGGAGGCTGTCTGGGATGAGGGAAGGGGGGTTGTGAAGAGTGGGGGAAAAGCTGGCTGGGCTGAAGTCATTAGGCTCGTCTTTTATACATTTTCTCCTCTCTTGAAAGTGGTAATGTTATTTATTCAAGCACCTGTAATGTGCAGCTACACCCCATAGCTCGCACAATGAGGAGCAGCGGCACTGGTCTTTTTGAGCGCATTATGATGACCTTATTCAATAAAACGGGAGCCCTTCAGTTATTTTTTTCCTCCTTGCAAGGAAGAACAAGACCTTACAAAGCAGAGTGGCTGGTTGCCTGCCAAGGAATCCTGAAAAACAGTTCACTCCCCAGAAGGACCTGTTTGTTTTTCCCAGGCTCTCTGGGATCTTTATTCCCCCAGTGAATTAGCAGCCCCTGTTTCTTGGGGTGACGGGGCTCCCCTTTCAGTGAGGCATCCCCAGCACCTTCCTGCTGCACTTTAGTCTCCTCTTTCTTGCATACACCTTTTAAAAAAGCATCCCCTATCTGTCTAAAACTTGATTTGTTCAGAAGTAGGGAATTCTGATGTATCATCTCTGAATCCAGTTGGGTGGTACCTGAACTTTGTTACTGATATCCCTGTCACAGTGCTTCTCTAGAGCAGACAGACCTTCTCCCAGCCTCACACTTCGCCTGAAAATTATATATAGGTACACCAAACTTAAACTTGGCAGAGCTTGCTTGCTTGCGCCCTGGAAACAGAAGTCCTTTCTGGCTTCCTGGATTGCACATGGAAGCTCTCATAATCTTGCTTGCTTTGGTTGCAATGGTCCCCTGTCTGGATGGTAGCTGCTGGAGAGGAAGTGGGCTCAGATCCCTGGGCCAGTGGTGGAGTTGGCTTTCAGCATCAAGGAACAAACATTTAAATAAGCAGGAAATGTTTGTTAAAATATTGGTGCTGCGTATGTTAAACAGGCAGAGGTGTCATTGAATTAAGAATACATGTGGACAGCCTAGAGCTTCTTGTAGAGTGAGCCACTGAACCTGTCCCTAAGAAGGATTTCATTAGCAAAATACAACCAGGATAAACCAGGAGGAAGAAACCTCTCCCTGGGGAAAGGTTTCAAGTTCCTTGAGACCCTGCAGTCCTGGATCTCTCTGACTGCTCTGCAATTTCATCTGTAATGTAGGGAGGGCTTCATGTGTCTCTCTTGTGCACAAAGGACCCTCGGTGGCTACAGAAATGAGGGCAGAATCAGAGAAAAGTACCCCAACCTTAACAGTGTTTCCAGACAAAACTCTCAGCAGAATATTGAGCTGTTGTTTTCTGCAGCAGACACCAGATCTTCTTCCACCTCTCACTTTCCCTCCCATTTTATTCTTTAACGATGTTGATTTTTGCTGTCACAAGTCATAGGGGAAGAGGGTTTCTATTCAAACTCCAAGCACAATTGTACGCAGTGGTACAAGGGGGTTACGTAGGAAGTCATACCAGATGAAGATAGGCTGACAGCCAGCATCTTAGAAGAAAGAGTTGGTCTGAGGCCAAGTTTACTTTAGTCCATTATGAAATTAGGGACTAGTAGCAAAGTCTGGATGTGGATTTGGGCACAGAGTTTCAACACTGCTCTGTTCAGTAGATGGGGAAGGTACAGGAAGGAAGGGTTGTTGACCTTATGGTTTTAGTTTGAGCCCTTCTCCAGCCACAAGCAGTCTGAAGGAAAGTTGAGACTGATCAAATTAGTCTTCTTGAAGTCCCACTGTATTTCATTGCATAGAGCAAAAAGAGAAGAAAGAAAGTGAAAATAAAATAAGGAACAAATCAGTTGGTTTAAAAGACAAGTAACAGGAATTTGTTTCATGTTGTTTTTAAGACAACAGGGTTCAAGCCCAGGTGAGGCTAACAGAAAGAAACCACAGAAAATGTCAGGAGAAATACAGATAAGCAGAACTATGGGCATACTAGAACACCTATGGGTAAAAAAATCAAACCTCCAGTTAAGTAATTCAGAAGAGGAAAATGTCCAGGGCATATAATGGTGGTTTTAACCATCATAATGTAAAAGCAATAATCAGTGATGATAAGGAGATTACAGAGAGCTAAAGGACTTCTTTGTGTTGGTCTTCAGAAGTAGAGATGATAGCAGGAAATAGCAGGTCTTTAGCTGTAAAATATACGTAATGTGAAAAGAGAGAGGTTTGCTCTTGATTTAGATGAGTGTAAGAAAGTAAATGTTAATAAAGCACCTGCATCGGGTCATGTTTTATATAAAAGCAGTGACTGAAGAAACAAAGGATAAAATAACCAACCTATTAGCCAAAGTACACATGTGAGGATTAAAAATAGTAGTTACTGCAACAAACGATGCCAAGATAGCGACCATGTACTTGTACCTGTAATGGGTCCTTCAAAGGATGTAAGCATTCAGATTACAATCTCATTACCAGCAGAAATTGTCAAGGAAGTACTTACATTTTTCTTGTTATTAATAATAAAATCACATGTAATGAGAGGCACCAAAACTTAGAAGAATGAGCAAAGATGGGAAGTCCAGAGACCGTTATTCTTTATTTGTACCGAGGCAGTGGCCAGGAGCCAGAAAAACTTCGGACACAGAAAAGGCCTCTTCCTCAAAGAGCTCCATCATTGACTTGCAGGGAGATTTGTGTCATTTCACAGTTCTTCTTCGGTTTCTCTGTGTTACAGACCAGAGGGATGATAATGATTACCTGATACGTATTGCTAATTCATGTTCATAAGGCTCTTGGCACTACAAGAAATGCTGTGTGTTTATTATTCTGCAATAATGGCTGGAAAAAGCATAATTATAATAATCAGACTTTCATTTTCACATATCCTTTGTTTTCACAATGTTTTCACAACATTTTCACAAAATTCACTTACCACATTTTTTAATCAGAGGCCTGAACAGAGAATCCTCAAAGCTAAAATGAAAAATAACTGTGCTAGGACTTGTAAGAAACAGGCTCTATTGACTGTCTTTTGCTTGGAAGAGGAACAGTTAGTATTCAAGGTCAGAACAAAAAGGGGTGGCATTATACGATTAGTGATAGAAGTGCTCTTGCTAAGTGATGCGTGCACATAAGGTGCAGGTGGAGATGAAGAAAACAAATTTGCAGTAAAAGGCATCTTTTGAAATTTCCATTGAGAAATCCAGAAACAACAGCCTCTCTGTTGACGTGAACGGAAACACCAGGAATAGCCTTCACCCAGAGAGACAAAGGGGCCCCAATCTTCTCATCTAAAAACAGGACATATGCCCCTCGGCCCCTCCCATGACCATCATTATCCCCCTTCCAAAATTCAGAGTCACTCTGTATCTCACTGGCAGTGGAAGATGATAACAAATTCTCTGTGTGCTGCTGGTCCAGTATAGTATCGACACAAATACAGTATCTGTAAAAATATTGTTTAGACAATGGTTTACAATGCAGTCAGCAGAGAAGGATCTTTCTCATGTTGTATTTAAGTTGTCCAGGCTCATGGGGTCAACAGTACTCAAGGACTCTTCCAGGGAAACCATGGATGGACACTGAGAGGAGAAGTCCTTCCCTGTGCAGAACTGAACTATTATTTGCCCAGCAGTTCCTAAAGGTCAAGGCATTTTTTTAAGCATTGTGCAGTTTGAGCCTACCTACCCCAGACATGGTTAGGAGTCTCTGTTGAATAGGGTGAGCACTACAGTGAGAAAGCAGTAACACTTCTTCCTGACTCTGGATCTCATAATGCCAGAGCCCATGGAAAAGAATAAAGCTCTCAGTGTGTTAATATCTGCCATTTGTGTGCTAACATGACCCTAAAGTGCCCTAGGAACAGAGCCCAGCACTGCAAATTCACTCAAAGAGCCTCTTCACCTCTTCCTGATCAGATCTTGAGAAGGAAACAACTGCCAAATCTGCAACGAGGAAAAACAGTATCTGTTCATGTGGCTTTACATATATTTATATGAATTTAATAAATATATATATTTTGCTACTCTTACTTTATTTTTAGACCTCTCTAATTAAGCCAGTTTAGGAGTCACCTCCTGTCCCCTCCTGCCCCATAATTATGAAAACACCTCCCCAGTACAAATCCTGGCTCAGATGAATTTATTACATTGTAGAAGAAAAACTTGTTGTTCATAATAATGTGGTCAGAGTTATTTTCTCTCTTACTGGATGGGAAAGACTTTTTTTTTCCTCTGGTATAAATATAGCACAAACTAAACAGAGCCACTCTGTAATGTAAAAATACTGCAAGCTTTTTATCAGGAAGGACAGCTCGTCACCTTGTCTCTCTCAGGACTGGAAATAGAATGTTCCAAAAGTGAGAGCTTTGAAAATCCAGTGCGCTAAAGAGGAAAGGAAGGGGAAAGGGCTGCCTCGGTTTGTCAAGGAACAAATATTTTCTTTTACAGAGGACAAATAATGGCTTGACATGTAACATTCACAACAGAGCGGCCCAATTGCTGCATTCCCACTGACTCATGGGCAAGGAGGTACCACCCTTCTTGCAAATAGTAAAAGCATCCCCATTTCTTGCACATCAGTCTGGAACCTTTTGTTGGACAGTGACTGGTCCAGGGCATCGGGGACCAAAGCTGCCAAGAACTGGGGCTGACAGCAGCTCTTCATTAGAAAGTTAGTAGAGATTATAAGGCTTAATGCATTAAAGGCAGCATAACATCTGGAGAACTTCAATGTGAGGATAACAAGGAAATGCAGACTTTGTTGTGTCTTTATTATTTTGAGGTGGGTCAAAGTTAGGCCTAAACTGAATGTGTGTTGGTTGGGTCGGGTATTTTCTGAGAAGGGGAGTATAATTTGGGATAGAGGGAAGGAGGGACTCAGGAAACCCTCTGTGCAGAACCATTCCTGAAGACCCACTGTCCCAAAATGGCAAAGACACTACAGAAAAGCTAAGCACAGATCAAGATGGACGAAAAATCACAGGCTTTGTGTGGCCATGCCAGTTCCTCTGGACGAAAACACTCAGACATTTTCACAAGCCTACCAAGACTCAGTTAAACACCACATTGCCAAGCCCGGCTCTGGCTCAGCCTTGGACGCTTACCTTCCGGCTGAACCTCTAACCCCAGTTTGGGCACAGAAACTGCTTCTGCAAGCCATCTCCAAAGTGGTGTGGGTTTAACCTGTGAGGCAGAGTTAACTCTGGATGACACTCAGAGAGGCAAAGCTAGGGCAGCCCTAGCAGACTACTATAATTATGCCACTTAGGCTGGCTGACTATTTTTTCATGTGGCCACGTAACTAACAAAAGCAAAAGGGGACTGTGAGGCAATACCTTGCAGTGCTTAGGCTAAAGATGAGAGATGAGTGCTGTAGTCCTGGGATCCTGGTGTCCAGGAACATCTGGAACGTACAAGAAGCAGTAGATTCAGGAACTACAAGACAGAGGAAGCAGAAATTTCTGCCCAGGTCCCTCACTGCAGGAACCTGTGCTCACGCAAGTCTCAGGGGCGGCTCGACTGCCTGGGAAATATCCACGATGGGTTTTTAACAATGCCAGGACCCACTCTCCAAAATCCTGTCTTGCAGGAAGGCCTCAAAAGAAGGTCCACAGCAAGATGGGGCAGAGGTGTTTGTTCCTGATCTGTCCCTCGGACTGCTCTCCAGCCAAGGGCAGCAAGATCAGTGCCTCTTGGGCAGGCTGAGGATGGGAACAGGCACCAGCTGCAGGTCACGTAGTATCAGCCTCTGAGATGCCACCACTGGGCAAAGGGATGGTCACATCTGTGTGAGCATGTCCCCAGGGGTCCAGCCAGACTCCCCTCGCCCCTGCAGCGACAGGGAGCATGCTAGGGCACAGCCGGTGCCTGAGTTAGAGGAGAGAGCCAGAAGGGAAGCAGGGACTCTCCCAGGGAGCTTTCTTACTCAGAAAAGGCATTTGTCAACACTCTCGCCCAAACTCTTCGCAACAGGTCACTAAAACGCTACAGCAAACAGCAGCTGATGGCTCCAGAATGAGTCTATTGCTGCTCAAACAGCCAGCACAGCTAAGCAAACAGGCCGGCAGGGCAGGGGCTGTGTTTGCACTCGCTGTTTGCACTCCTCTATGCAGCTAATGGGATATTGCTAAGATATCCTAAGAAGGTTGCAAAAAAAAAGAGAGGGAGAGAGAAAAATGGCTTCCTGTTGATCTCTTTCCAACTTCTTTTCTCAGTTTCATGCATTGGCCAACCTGCCATTTTAGAAGACAGATTTATCCCTTATTAGGTGAATTGGTAACTGTTTGCTCTAGAATGATTTTTAATAGTCCCTTCTTAAATAATGCCCTCTGGCGTCACACTACATCCACCCTGGCTTTGGTTATCTCTAGGTTTTTTTCTCCTGTTAGGAGAATGGATATTTTATTGACATGTAAAAAGGTTACAAGGCAGGAAGAAATGAATTATACAAAATTTAAAAGTAGAAAGCTAATAAAATGGTGGACTTGATAGATAAGGCAGGAAAATAAATCTAATTTGACTGTAACTGGAGTGCTTCCTGCATATGAAGTAATAACCATACACTGGACTAAACCAGCGTTAACCCAGGACACGGCTGTTATTTTGTCAAATTTGGCTGGCTCTAATGATTCACAAACGGTGGCTCAGATTTCAGCTTTGGTGTGGTGATTATTTTGATGCCTGGTGGGAAATAAGGCCATGATTTCCTAAAAGGGGACCTCTGTGAGGTGCTTTCTCTGAAAAGTCCATGGGAAGGGCTCTGGCATGGGCCAGGGAAGATGGCAGAGCTGTTTCCTGAGGACTGTGCAGTAGTGTAGGAGTCATCCTGTGGGAGTCATCTTCTTTGTTTTTCGTTTCTTTCTTTGTGTCCTCGTTGAGTCCCCCCCTCTTTAACTATTTACCCAGCCAAAAATCCTCAGGCCCATTGGAGGAAACACCTTCAAATGCTTTCCCTCTCTCCCCATAGGGAGGGGGTGATGGAGAAGAGGAAGAAGTGGATCCTTCCTTTCTATAGCATGCTGTATTTTTGAGGAAAAATCCCATTTAACAAGATGAGCATACAGCTCCTTTCTAGTGATAACAATATGGTCTCATTCCAATCTGGAGAGGGAAGCAGCATCCCTTCCTCTGCCTCTGGGACAAACGTTCCTGGGCTGGGAATGCAAACGTTTCAGCCGGGGCCCAAAGACAATTGTTGCACAAGCGCAGCACTTTGTCTCAGATCCCACAAATGTCCTTGTTCCAAGTAGGTCATTATATGATGGCTTTCGTCTTTTCCCGTTGCCAAAAGGGTCCAGGAGAATGTGTCGTAACACCGTGCGTCACCTGCCTGTGCAGTCCCTCCTGCGATCATCTCATCTGGGTGGGACTCTCTTACTGATGTCATTCAGCCCAGTGCAGGTCTTATCAGTGCAACAAAAATACCCGGCCCCAACGCAGCAAAACCCCCCTGGGATTTTGCAAGGCATGGCTAGGCTGGGGGCTCCCCCCGTGCATGGTGCTCCCCTCTCCCGCTCCCCTGGCAGCCTCCAGGGCTTTCCTACTGCCTCACCCTGCCCTGCCGCGCCAGAAGCAGCCGGCACCGCGGGCAACCCCACTAGACGTAGAGGGGAACAACACCGCCCAGAGCAAGGCTGCTCCTCCTGGATGACGTGCAGTGGTTGCCTTTACGTTTCCCTTTTGTGTTTGTTATTTCCTTTTTTTTCCTACCCTCCCACCCCACAAATGACTGTTGTCTTCCTCTGCTCCTTTTCTCAGCAGTCCCTGAATAGCAAGAGCACAACCCTCACCATAGCAAAAGGAAGGAGGACTAGGGGTATTTGGCGTTCAGCAAAAGGAGAAGCAAAGACCAGGCCTTTTTTCTCCTTATTCAGGCATCTAGAAATGGTCACGGGTCAAACTAGTTGCACTTTTCATCTTCCCTACAACGTGTCCAGTTCTCAAGAGCTTTTCTGCACTGGGATGTGGGTGGCAGTATCTTTGGCTTCTGTTACGGCTGGACCTTATAGAAAACTGTCTAAACAGAATAAAACAGGTTAGAAACAAGCTTGTCCTCTGTTCTCTAGTGAAGATGGCTCCTGCCCTCTCATGGTTGAAGACAGATATGTAAAGGCACTTGTTTGTTCTTTGCGAAGAAACACCAAATACCATCGCACGCATTTCCTTCAGCCGGCTCCACATAGTCTCATCACCCTCCTTTAACACACACACCGACACAACTGGGAAACTCTTCTGGGGCAGAGACCGACCGGTTGTCACGAGCAAGTACACACTTAGCAAAGCGGGGTTGCAATCCCCAACTGTGGTCTTGAAGTGTTACCAAAATACAAAGCGTAGGTAATATGTAAAGCAAGTCACTCACTTGCTCACCCTTTTCACACAATGTTAGTCTTTTTTCCACCAATTAACCCACCCTTCCTGCATCTGTCCCGCTCCAAGGAACAAGAATTGCATGGGTTTCTCTGATGCAAGCTTGCTCTCCAAGCAAGTTTTTGCCAATAGACTAAAGGCCAGCATTGATAGTATAAATGAGGTGAAGTTGTCCACTATGTTCTTGCCACCTGCGTGTTCAGTTTTCCTCTCCCAAACCAATTAGCTTTTGCAGAGATTTGATCATATCATTAGAGCTTCCACTGTTTTGGTTCTTCTTTCTTCTTTTTTTTTTTTTTTTGATACGATACAGAGCATTTCTTGTAACCGAATACAAATCTGTGAAAAGCCAGCTTCTCAGAAAATCTCCAGCTCACAGACCACTGCCCTCTCATTTCCAAGTGCAACTCAAGTCTAACACCCAACCAGCTGTCCCACACATGCGCCCATGGCATCACACTCACACAAATCTCCTCAAGAATCACAGGCTCTCCCAGAGATATCTTTTTCCTTCAGAGCTTGCTTCCAGCCAGGAGACCTATACTGCTCCTCAAAGAAAGTCTGGAGGGGGGGTAATGCCAGGGAGGGAGGGAAATGCCAGGGAACTGAAGCCTAGAGGTGGCAGACAACCAGCTCTCTTGTTGATTTCCTGGCATTGGTTTCTATTTCCTGACCACCCAAAATACTCTGTTTTCATCCATCCCAACATGGGAAATAGCAGTTCCAAACTTTGAATGCAGTAATGCCCCTTAAGAGATCAAATATTTTTCTGAAGCATCATAAAAGCAAAGAGCATTAGCAAGAGCCATCTGGGCAAAGGTCTAGCTGTCTCCTCGGTGCCAGGTTTACCAGGGCTTGTGCATGAGGAAGGAGAAAGGGGTCAATTTGCTCTGGGCTGGGTTGGTGTGGGGAACTTCTCCCTTTAAATCACACAATCCCTGCTCTGTCCTCAGCTCCATCCGTGTGGTTTTTAATTGACATTGTGCTATTCAGACACGGAGATGATTTCTGCTCACAAAGTATTCCTGTTCTTTTTGCTCTTGTCACTTTTTCACTGGATTTTGGCAATCAAGGTCAAAGTTGAGAACCAGCACGACTTCCGGGACATGGCCAGCATAGTAGCCATGGCAAAAACCTACGCCACCACCGAGCCGTTCATTGATTCCAAGTACGACATCCGAATCCAGAAAATCGGCAGCAACTACAAGGCGTACATGTGAGTGCATGGCTATGCCGGAGTGAGATGGGGGGAGACAGTGCTGTGGATGTGATTCAGGCGGTGTCTGCTCTGGGCAGGAGTAGAAAGCTGACTTAATTTCCTTGAAGAATAGCCCTGCTGTTCTCCTCCCACCTCTGAACCCAGATCCCTCATCCACCGATCATCTTCTCCATTACTCACCATCAGCTCATTGTTACTGGAAGGTAAATCTCTCTCTACCTGTTTCTGAGATTCAGTTAGTTCCTACTATAACAACTGTGCTCTCCCATCACCCATCACCCATCACCTCTCCCTCCTACCGTTAAAGGGCTCATCTTTCCCAGCAAAATCCTCCAGTACCCTCTAGTGGGAGCTGAACCTACCCCCTCCCACCTGGAGGAAACAATAAAAAAGATTGAGCCAGCTGCAACTCATGGAGTCCTATAGGGTCCAACCCATAGCAACACCCCATCCTCTCCCCAACTGGAGATCACAGCTCTGCAGTCACACAAGGGCATGAGGAGAACACAGCACCAGGTACGAATGGCCTCAGCCTGGCCAGCATGCAGGGTTTCCATGGGCATTTTCATGTGTGCTCCTTGAAGCGTACAAAGGAGGGAAAGGAGAAGGAAAAACATTTCTGTGGGTGCCCGAGAGTGCCTCCCCTGCCCTGAGGGGTAGTGAGGGAGGTGGCATGAAGGCAACCCTCAACACTGGTATGTTTAAAAATATTAAAAAGCATTCAGCCAACTTCAGTAGTCGTCAAGCTCAATTAAAGATGTAACCACATGAGTCAGTAAGACACCTGTTTCTTCTTACTGCAAACCAGTAGATGAGAAAAGCCAAATAGCACAGCTTCTCCAGAAGCTCTTTATCAAGCCACAAAATTCTGGACAAGTAGACAGCTCCAGCAGTACATTCTTCAGGTTGCCAGATAAATTTCATATGTTACCTAACACCCACAACACTGTGAGTTTTTTTGCGTCCATGTTTACAAAGCCCTAGGCCATAGTTCTGGTAAAACGTAGTTAAATAAGATAATCAAATGTACACGATCACATATTTTTCAGCTATAATTGCCTAAAATTCTCAGTTGGATTCCTAGCAGAGAGGTATTTAAGTAAACTAGATAATGACTGAGTCACATTCTTCATGGGAAGGACTTGTGGGACACTTGGCTACTTCATGTGAACTCAATGAGAAAATTTGTTTTAAATCTGATCAGGTCAACAACAGCACAGTTGCCTAATATTACATTAACATCTCAGGGGGTCTGGCTCAAATTGGCCAAAGGAAGGAAGGTTTAAAATATCAATTAAAATTCCCTATTCCTGCCAACCTACCCAGCCTTGGCTCCAGAGCCTGCTCCCAGCCTGCCTCTAAGTGAAACAAAGGCCCAGTTAGCCTGACCATATCCTCTCCCCGTTTATTATTCACACTCACCACGCACTCATCCAGACAGGGATCAGAAATAATACCAGATGATTGAGGAAAGAAAGCAGTCACACTAAGAGCTAATCCCACTTGGGAATATAGCTGCGCAAACAATTGTTTGCTAAATGAAAAATGTTTTCACATTAAAACAGCCAAGAACGGGAAACACCTTAATGAGAAATGAAGCTTATTAGCAAAGAAAGCAAACAGCAAAATTCACCCAGCAACTTGCTAACCCAGAAGGTTGACTTATATTGAGAGAGCCATTTATGGATGTGAGCTTGGGAGAGCAGTATAGTCAGTCCCGTCGGGGGCTATTCCTTCTGTCCCAGCATCAGACAGAATAGAATTTTATTTCTATGGTATAAATAAGTCCCTACAATGTCCAAGGACAGAGGTAAAAGCACCCAAAATATCAGAGCTCTCACTGGTGTCTCAAATAGAAGACTCAAAATCATTAGTCATGCTAGCAAATCTCAGCCTTAAAGGCAATTACAGCATCTGCAGTAGTGTCATACTAAGTGAATTGCTTTGATCTGTGAGCCATGGAATCTACCCAGTATTTTTATGCTTTCACCCACACATACAGACTTTAAAAGCCCCCTTCCTTCTGAGAAAAGACTGTGTACCAAAATTCTCCAGAATATGTTTACTTTGCACCGAGCATCTGCCAGAGGGAGGATGCTGCAGGGTGACTCATGCATTCCTCCCCGCCCCAGATGTTCAATGCACTTCCTTCCAGCCCATGACCCAAGGCTTGAGTTCAGTTTCCCATTGACTTCAGTGCAGTGACTCCAGATTTACACTACTAACAAACACCTACTTAGCCCATGCCTTGGGCCAGTCTCAAAACAGCAGATAAGCAGTATGTGATACATGCCTAAAATTCCAGCAAATGTATTCGACTGTCATTGTAATACTGGTGAAGAGAAAATAATGCTCATGTGGCAGGGGAAATTGGGGCAGAAATTATCCTTCCACCCTCGCCCCAGCTGGGGGCAAACAGAGGGATCATTTCCAGTTAAGACTCATGAAATGTTCACTTTGCATGAAGCCAGCAGCTGCTGACTTTCAGGGGTGGGATATTCCTTGCCATCAGCTCTTAGTAAGAGGGTAATATCCTTTCCTTTCTAGTTTCATGAGTGTGACTTCTGATTTTGTCACCTCAAACGCGGTTCAATATGCTCTGCAGGGGCTACAACTTCAACTGTGTGTAAACTACAGCTACTTTTAGACTGAAATGGCCCAGCTGGGAGATGGTGAGTACAGGATGCCAACAGCCCATGATCTGCTAGTCTATCCACTTATCCTAAGCAATGCTTAGGTGTCTTGGTCACAAATCTGCTTGATCTACTGATTTCTAAAATCTTGGGGTCCTTTCCTTTAAGATGCTGACCATACACTGATGCAGCCCCCTGACGTTTAGAATGATTCAAAGCACTTTGACTTTGAGTCCCTGAGAGAAATGGGGTTGGAGGCAGGACATCCTTAGGGAAAATTTCCTTTTCCACCTCAGGTTGAACACAAAAAGGGAAAGAAAAAAAGAAGAATTTGGTGGCACACTTGACACCTGACATGCTTGGAAAAGAGTGATCTTGATAGAGGCCGTGGTGTAGGAATTTAGTGACTGGTCTGGAGGGCTTCAAATGAAGCTTTTCCATTTAAAAACAGGAAAGTTCCCTAACAGGAAAGTTAGGGATACAGCTCAGAAAAATATTTTACATCTTATGCCCAGTATTGGCTGGAGATGAGTAGATATAAACAAGTCAAACCAATCAGCCCAATGGCCAGAGCAGAGTTCTTATTTTGGGAGCTTTTCCACATCAAATTTCCTTGCAAAACTGTATAGCTGTGGTTTGGTTTTGTTAGGGACAGCACAGCCACTTACATTTCATATGCCAGGTACATTTTCTAAACACTGATATCCAATCATCTTGTCAATAATCAGATTCCAGGAGTTCTCATCAGTACTAACGGGATTTTGGATGCCATTTGCCACTGCAGGGCAATTTTCTGAACCTAACTGTTAATAAAGAACGGTTCTTCCCATTGCAGAACTGAAAAACATAATCCTAAGAATCCCATATCAAAAGAAATAGAGAGGCTGAGGGTTGAACACTGACCTCATAGGCCATCAAAGGGCTCATAACAATCAAAGCTTGAGGAGGAATCCATACCTTTGCTTAGAAAGTAGGGCAGGAAGATGGATGTTGGGCGAGGGGAACAAAGGACAAGAGTCAACTATATGGAAACACAGTTATTCAACACAGTAATCATGTTCCTTTGGCCCTCCTCCCACTCCTTTAAATATGGGCTACAAAGACCATTTAAATTTCACAGCAACTATACGTACCACTTAAAAGAGAAATGGAAAAAGGACACCAGGCTGTCCCTCACTAGAGTGAAAGGGAACCTCAAGTAGTCAACTATAATGATGCAGGTTTACAATCGAGCAGGACATCAATATTACCACGTAGTTTTGCAAGTTCAGAGTCTCTTTTCCACATCATGTTGAAAAGGTGAGAGAACTGGCACGAAGGGTTCCTACAACCTCATGTTGAAGTGCTGGATCACATCTCATACTCCCCTCCTAAATCTCTACCTAAATATCCTTCAACGTGGAGATGCTCACTGGATGTATCCTGTCAGCTTGTTGACTTGTCCTAGCTTGTACGCTATGCCAGGGTTATCTGCACAATATTGTCACAGCAGGCTGTCCAAGGTCTGCCCTGTGCCTAAGGTCAAGAAAAGGAAATTTTTTCACCCCTTGATGGATGATAATGAAACCCAGGATTTGCCAGCAACAGTACCTTTTCTGGAAATTAACCATCAGTTGCAGCTAACGAGACTCCAACCATTTTGCAATTAAAAATTCTCCAAGTCCAGATACAGTAAGCCACAGACAGGTCAATGAAAAGTCAGTGAAAAGAGGGTATAATCATATTTTCTATGACACCAGTACAACTTAATTCAAAGTTAGGGAGACTCACAATGTCATAGCTGACATTTGTGAAGCTGCTCAGGCAGATGTTTACCTGGAGAGTTGCTTTTCCACAGATGGAGGATGCAGAACACAAGGGTGATTATCCCAGAGATCTTCTACAGACATTTCAGCTCTCCTGAGACTTATATATAAAGAAAGGAAGAAAGTACTCACACAGCTTGATGTGTGCTCAAGATTCCTTGGAGGTTTCCCTAACTCCTCATTCAGTCTTTCATGAGTCTGAACAACATATCCTGTATGGAGTGTTGTTGAGGCAGGATTTGGAAGGGCTTCTGTGAGGAAGAACCTCACCTCATTGCCTCCTGTACAAGCACTGAGTCAAGAATGAGGACTACAGTATGAAGGAGGATGGGGCAGGAGTGTATTTTCATGTTCAGGTTATGGTTTTGGTTTGTTTTCCTAGGAGGACGTCCATCTCTGGAAACTGGAAGGCAAACACAGGTTCTGCGATGCTAGAACAGATTGCAATGACAGAGAGGTAAGGAAGAGGGTTTCAAGACAGTATTAGTTATTCTTGGGTTAGAAGGGAGGAATTGTATTTCAGACTTTGGTTAATTGAGAGAACTGGTAAGTGAGGTCTCCTGGGAGGCTGGATAAAGAAGTTTAAAAGACCTAGTGTTTCCCTAAAAAAATACTAAGGGCACAAAGGCAAATTGTCCTATTTTGGAGAACAGACTGTAAGTACAGCTAGAGACGAACACTGCTAAATCATTAGATCTTTAGTGAATGTAGTCACAGGAAACAAGACCAGCATACTAAGGTCAAGCACACGAGCACAAACATGTAGGGATAAAATCAGAAAGGTCACAGCACAAAACAAGAAGTAACAAGAAGTTATTCTAAGTGCATTACTAATGAGAGGCAGACACAGAAGAGTGTTTCTTCTGCTCAACAGAGGGAAAAATCTGTCAGCTGAAGTGTTGAAAGTGCTTTTTTGCATTAGTCTCCCAAAAGTGGGTGGTTTTTTAGCTAATGTCTTCTCACTGCTGAACAGAGCAGAAGGAATTGCCTCATGCATCTTACAGACTAAAATTTGCAGATGGTACTTCCATATATTCAAATCACCGTGATATTTGCTAATATTGCCACTGCGTGACATTGTTGACTCATTGTTACAGCTTTGCTGTAACTCCCAAACCCTATTCTGCAGAACTGCTGTCAAGTCACTTGTTCTCCATCCTATTTCTTTAAGTAGATTATTGGTAGATTTATAGAATCCATAGATTATGTATAGGCACTCATCCCTAGTGAATCTAGGTTTTTTTCAGATTATATCTCCAATTTGTCAGGATCATGTTTAACTCTGACTCTTTCCAGGTTTAGGCACCATATTTGAAGAAAGACAGCAAAGAGATGGAGAGAGCCCAAAGGACAATAAAGGGAATGCTCAGAGGAGAAAATATAATCAGCCTATGAGAAAAGAATGCAACAATTGATTATGTAGTGTTCCTCTTTTTTCAGTTAGCAGACCACTGATATTTTTCCAGTAGAGGTGTAGACTCATGCGTAATGAATCTATGCCTGCAGTGCAGAGGTTCGCTTTCCTTCATTAGCTGTCACAGAGCTGGAAGAAGTTGTACACAAGCTGAACACCACTTCATCCTAAAGATGAAAAAACTTAAAGAGCACAAGCTTTTCAAATACGTAAAAGGCTGCTAATAGGGCATTACTCACTCTTTATATTACTAGTACAGTATTGTAAGAAATAATGGGCTTAAATTATAGCAAAAAAGGTTCATTTGAACATTTCCTGTATTTCCTAACAGTAAGGATAGCATGGCACAGAAATGGATTGCCTGGAGGAGATGGGGAATCTCCATCCTCTTTCAGACCGGATTAGAGAAACGTCTCCTCTTTGGGGTGATCATCTGAGGTCCCTTCTGCACCTTTAGTTCTGTGAAACAGGGAAACCAAGCCAAGCCCCAAATCAGATGCTGGAGGTGACTCTGCAAGACCCTAATAGGACTTGGGAACTGGACATTATTAGGCATCCTGGTTGTTTATAACACAGCTGAAGCTAGAGAGATGAAGGGTAGACATTCCCTCATGGCAGTGTTGTAGGACTAAAACCCAGA